GGGCTGGGTTTGTGACCGGGGCTGCATAAATATTTATACATCCTAAAGTATATTTTTTTAAATTCAAAATTCATGTTATATTTTGTATATATATTCATATATAAACATCATTATGATTAACATGATCATCATTATCATCATTATCTGATCATTATCTGATCTCTTTCAGCAAATACTACACCATATAAATGTAAGTATTTATATGGTGTAGTATTTGCCAAAATTTATATAAGGTTTATATAAAAATGAAAGAATATTGTAATCAGCATCTAAATAAATAGCAAGCATATATGTTTATATCTATAATATGTATGCATAAAGCTTATCTTGGAAGCTTTTAATCCTTTTCGACTAAAAGTTTGAAAGCTTTTTTTTTTTTTTTTTACTCTTCAATTTTAAGTCAAGCCTCATTCTACTTCACATTTTTCACGATCTTGAGCAGTTATTTTATTAAAAATTATTATATTTTATTAAAAATTATTTTTTTCATCTTTTTTGCAAGAATATCTATCTTAAGAACCAATGTCCTTGTATTATTCCAAGAAGCCAATGTAAAAAGGTCCTGTCTGATGTTAAGCTGTTATTCTCAGTTTACTAAATCCTGTATCTTATATCAGATGTTAGGTTCTAGGGGCTTTTGGTTAGTCTTCAACAATGTCATTAATTAAAGTAAGTCTAACATTTAATAACTAATTCATAGGTCTTATCTTTTTACTTCTCCTCAGAATTAACCAGAGTTATTTGCAAAGAAACCTTACTCTAATTTGACTCTTGAATCTTATGGCCATACTCTTCCTGCCAGTTAAACAGATTGACCAATTGTTAAACATCCAAATCACTCTGGGTTCCAATGCTAAAGTTAATTCTAAATTAAACACTTCTAAAGTTTGAGCTTCAGACAAGATTTTCATCATAGTCTTAAAAATGTGTTCTCCAGAAATCTTTTCAATTTTCGCTAAACTTTTAAAAAGTGCTAAATAAGTCAAAACTCTAGAAAAACACTTTGACCTCTCCGACTATCCTACGATTAGTCTTCACTCTGTTTTTTTATAAAAAGGTTTTGAGGTCTTTTAATTATTTTTTTTTAACTACAGTATTTAAGTTATCGCTGTTGCTCGCACAACGGTACTGCGCTTTTTTTTTTCTTAAAGTTAAGTGATTTATAATTGGGTGATTTTTTTTTCTTTTATTTAAAGAATGCATGCCCAAACCAAAACCCTTAAATGACGTATGTACACTCACTGTGCCTATCCCTAAATCAGTGGATGTATGCACACTCACTGTGCCTATCCCTAAATCAGTGGATGTATGTACACTCACTGCACCTATCCCTAAATCAGTGGATGTATGCACACTCACTGTGCCAATCCCTAAATCAGTCGATGTTTGCAATTAATAAACATCAATGTAACTTTCAATATACAACAATAATAATAAATTTCAATAAAAAACATTTAAAAAAAATTTTTCTGGAAGTAGGACTCAATCCTAGATCGCCGTGAGAAATAAACAAATGAGATACCACAATGCTAATCGTACAATTTATAGTTGCAATTCTTTTTAAATTTGTAAAAATAAAACTTTTAAAATCAACCAATCATATTCGCAGCTGTGACTTAAAATAAACCAATTAAACTTTACTACCGTGACTTTAAGATAAAAAATTAAAGCAAGGGTACCGTTGCGCTAAACACATTGTAAAGATAATCTTGAAGGCTTCTTTATTTCATATAACTTTAAGGGTATCATAAGGTTCTATCTTAGCTTCTGTATTGCTTCTTATCTACAATACCAATCTTCATGAAAATTTTACATCTAAAGTGGTTCTATTTGCTGATGACTTAACTTAATGACTCTTATTTTGACAAAAATCTTCACTTTTTAATTGCTTACTCTCAGACTGTCCACATTGTAAATGTAGTAAGACCAGCTTTATCTGCCAAGCTTGAGCCACTCTCCCATTGTTATAAGGTTGCATTCCTTTCTTTTTTCTACAAATACCATCATGGTCAATACTCAAACGAGCTATTATGTCTATTACGATAAACCAAAACTCATCTTATTTAACAAGTTGCATTCTTTTACTGTCTCTGGCCCTTCATGCTATAAAAACTTTTATTAATCCAGTTTTTTTACCTTGCACATTAAAAAAACCTTAAAACTCTTAGCCATTTTCATGTTTTTCTTTTATAAACAACCTAAAACTTTTCAAGTCTTCATTAATCATTTTCTAGTAATTTGATTACATTCCCTATTTCAAGTAACTCATAACTTAATAGTGGTTGCTCACAATTACGCTGGAAGTAAATTAGAGTGTGAAAAAATATAAATATATGCCAGTATTTAATAAATAGCAAATGTAAGCACAATATTATAATATATAAAGTATTATAAATTTTTTTCTACCCCCAGCTATCAACCCCTGCTAAATCTCATAGTTTTACTGGAGCCAGGTTTGAAAAAAATTTCATTTTTAGCTGGGGACCAGGCCCCAGTCACTTACTAACTGTCAGTACTCTGATATTTTACAGCTGTTAATGGAATCAGTCTCTCTGACAGCTACCACAAACTTTAGGAAACATGACTACCAGCCAGTCTCAGAACCATAAAACTGAGTTTTAGAGCTGAACCCTCATTAGGAGATAATAGAATGATTTGCCTAGTCATAAAAACAGAGACAAAGAAGCAAAACCCATGTAAAGAGTCAGAAGATCCAGCATTCAACATCCTAAACTGGAAACAATGTATTATAAACACATCTACGCCAGCCTAATAGATAAAGAAGTGGTGTAAAGCGGTTTACCTCTTAAAGTTAAATCTTTTTAAAACTAAAATAGTTTATTCAAAGTCCGGAGAAAGTTTGAAAAACAGTTGTAATTGTGGAATTGTTTGTTTTATTTAGAGTTAGATCCAAAAAAGATATGTTTGATTTAACTTCTATTTTATGAAATATAGAATATTGATATATTATTATATATATATATATTGTTTATTATCAATATACTCCAAGAATAAATATGAATTTCAAATGGAAAATATAGAACTGTTTATTATTATATTATCATATATATATATTGTTTATTATCATTATACTCCAAGAATAAATATGATTTTCAAATGGAAAACCAGCAAAAATATTATCTACATAACCTTTATAAAAAGGTGGTTTTTCTCTGTTATATGGAGGGGTGTGGAGTTGTAAAAAAAAAGTACCCACTCCAACTCCAGTTGTTGAAATTTTCATAGTATGACTCCGACTCCAACTCCAACTCCATACTGATATATAACTGATATAACTAATAGTTTAAAGAATTCAAAAAATTTTGCCAAAAATTTTTTGAATTCTTTGAAAAATATTTGCAATAAGTTGAAATTTTTTTTTTTGCCAAATTTATGAAAAGTTCTTTGAGGTTTAGTATGAATACACGGTTAATTGAATATTTTATACATGCACGTGCAATACCGAGAAGTTTTACAATGTCAAAGTTGCAATTTTTTTTAGCGAATGCAACTCCACTAAAAATGTTGCGACTCCGCCACTCCAACTCCGCAACTCAGGTTATATGATCTTATTTATCTTTTCATTGAAAAGATAAGTGAATCAAATATTATAACATTTTCCGTGAAAAGATTAGCACCTGTTCTTGCTAATTTTTTCATGGGAAAATTTACCATGAAAAGATTAGCAAGAACAGGTTATAAGGGACAATCCATAGAAACATCATCAATTTGATCTAAAATTTGTCCTTTGAAGAGAATGAGATGTTTAAAAAGTTTAAGATGTTACAAAATTAAAGAGTTGTTTTAAATAACTTTTAATAATTTAAGATTGACTTAACTAATTTAAATGATGGCGATATCTATTGTTTCTTGTAGTGGAATATTGGTATATAAACTTGCAATATCATAAGATACTAAGAAATGTTTATGAAGGTTAGCGTGATTTGCTTCTTTAGCAAAAGTGAAAGAACGTTGCTGATTTATTTATAGTTTTAATCATACTAGAACCAAAATGACTATAAACAGCTTATCTTAAGCATCTTGGGGCAAAACTAATATAAATATTTTTATTAATTTTTATTTCTAGGACATAAATAAATATATAAACTTTTGATTAAAATGGTATGGCTTTTTTTTCCATCTAAAAATAGTATAATTTATATTTTTAATAGGCTGAAATTTAGTTATTATGCAGTGAGATATTGTTATTTAGATTCATAGTAAGATTTACAAATGTATAAATTTAGAATCAGATTAAAATTACTTATTTTATGTATATTTAATATTATTAATATTTTAAATATAATGAAATAACAAGCTCTTATGTTATAACTACAATTTTACTTATCAAAAACAATTTTAAATATTTAACAAGATTTTCTAGCTCTTTTGCACTGAAACAGGTTGTTAACGACAGTGTAGTAATAAAACAATAAATAAAGAGTTTGTCTAGTTTGTATAATCATATTTGTCTAATTAAAACTATTAAATAACATTGATTGAATTTAATTTTTGTAAAGGTTTTAAAAGCAATGCCGCATCGCCTAATAACTAAATTTTAGTCAATTTAAAATGTAAAATTATACTATTTTTAGGGGAGAAAAAAAACAAAACCTTTTTTTAATAAAAATTCAGATATTTATTAATGTCCTAGAAAAAATTTTTATTAAAAATATTTATGTTAGTCTTGCTCTTTAGACACTTAAAATAAGTAGTTTTTAGTTATGTTGAGATCCTTTGCTCAAATTTCTGTATCAAACCATATTAAATACAATTCACAATATTACATAAACTTATATCAGTAGTATATATACAAATAAACCTATATCAGTAGTATATGGACAAACAAACTTACATCAGCAGTAATTGGACAAACAAACTTACATCAGCAGTATATGGACAAATAAACTTACATCAGCAGTATTTGGACAAATAAACTTACATCAGCAGTGTATGGACAAATAAACTTACATCAGCAGTATATGGAAAAACAAACTTACATCAGCAGTATGTGGACAAATAAAGATGATTGTAGTGGAGCAATTATTTAACTCATTTTTGTAAAAAAGTTCAATATTTTCTTCATCGTTTAACTTTAACATAGTTGATTCGCTGATACTTCCTACATTGCTTTTATTGTAGCATGCTGATGCTCCGACATCACAATCTGTATTATGGAGATCAGCACAAACATTAAAGACTAATTTCTCGCTTTCAGAATTAGAAGCTAAGTGTGGTCCTAAAAAAAAAAAAGTGTGGTCCTAATCAAAGGATAACAACATCAATCTTTGTAATGGTTACAAAAGTAAAAAGTTTATAAGAATTAAGAAAAACCTGAATTCTGCAGTAGAAGCATATTAATCTTATATCCATACTTATTAATAAGATAGCAGGGTATTTGTTTTTTATATACATGTTTTTCACACAACTCATTTGATGAAAATTCAAAATATGCAACACAATTTGATTCATTAACAAATTCCAAGTCTCCCTATAATTTGATAAGCATATTAAAAGCATATATAAGAAACCAAGCTGAATATCAACATATGTTCAACTTACCAAATATTTTCCACAAACTAATTTGACACGTGCACTTAAAAGTATTGACTCATCTAATGGACATTTGTCACCATTTTCAATAATCATTTCACTATTTAAAATACTTAGTGATGATTGTACTCCATAACTCTTAGGATAACTTAAGATTCCAACTGTTTCTTGAAACAATGTAGATAATGAAACTTCATTTTTTGTTAAGTTGCAGAAAAATAATGAATATACTTTTATATTACTGTTATTTGTATAATCAGCTGCTTTCCAAACCCTAAATAAACCATACATGTATAAGTGCATACTTTAATTTAAAAAATAAATTTGAGATTAAAGTTTACGTGATTTTATGAATTTCAAAACTTTTAAGCATTTTACTGTTATATATAGATAATGTAGAAGTTGATTTTTAGATATAGAATTTTACATAAAACTTATTGAATTTTAATTTTATATATTTTAATTTTATTCAATCTTACATCAACAACTTGATGTATGATTAACTTAATGTAGCAATTAAAAATAGACAAAAATATAAATGTAAACATTTAATGTCTCCTGTAGCTCTATAACACATCCAAAAGTGTATAAGCGAAGGCTCAACCAATCTCATGCTTAATTTGTGTAGGATAACCAACCAGGTTTTTTACAACTTTATCTTGAGGTAATTAAGTGGTGTTAGTATCAGGAAATAGTACACACTTTGACATGAAATTATATGATATATTACAAATTTCTCTGTGAACAGTGAGATGTTGAATTCATATGGTCACCCATTACTTCATGTTGTTATAACTTCCAGATTTAGCTTGTGCTATAGTAAAGGCATGTAGATAGTAAAAGTTATGTACAATAAAGAAATCTGAAATTTTATAAAAATAAACTTTTATTTATTTAACTTTATTATTATTAAAAGTAATCAAAAATTTAAACAGATTGATTGAAAACTCATCTACCAAAAATATATATATATTTTTAGTGTAACTTAAGTATTTTTAGTGTAGGTATTTTTTTAATTCAATCTGTATCTCTAAGATCAACAGCAGCTTGAATCAGAATGGCTTCTTAACATGTTTATAACATGCTTTAACACTCTTATTCTGCTTAACATTTAGTAAAACATCACACCAATATCATAGCCATAATTTTAGTAAAACATAAATTTAGTAAAACATCACAACAATATCGTAGCCATAATAGCAATGTTTCTAGCATAAACATTGATTGGATAATTTAATTTCTGCTGCTACTTGTTAAATTGCGGTGGTTATTTTTAGTAATAGCCACTAGGTTATCACTAAAAAATGAATCAAAACTTGTATTAGAAATGAGTTCATTTTATAATTCATTTTGCAAACACAAAAAAATTTAACTCATTTTAATTACTTTTAATAATAATAAAGTTAAATAAATAAACTATTTATTTAACTTTATTATTATTAAAAGTAATTAAAAGTTTTATTATTCAAAAACTTTAATTATTAGAAAAAAACCTGTCGAAGTATATACATACAAATAGGTTTAAAATATATTAAGCCCAATATGCATTATATTTTTCATTATATAATGAAACAACTGTATATATGTATATTTTATTTATTTACAATAAGAAAGTGTAATACACATATTCATTATAAAAAAATGAATACTAAATTGGTATACTTTTATTGTATATAATATGATTACAATGTTATATTACGCGATGTAATACTATTCTATTAAACAATAACACAATCATTGTATACAATACTACATTTATATATACTACATATACTATAAATAATTGTATACAAAATTATAATTGCCTATATTAAATATGTCTACATAATTTATCTATGAGTAGGGAATTTGAACACCCCAAATAGGTGAGGTTCCTTTACCATTGTGAAGAAAACGTACTGGTAAGTTTAAAAGTAGATCATAAACCTTGGACCTATTAACTAAAATGTTTAACACTAGGAAGAGCATCCAGTATAGTAAGCGGGGCCCCAGCTAAACTTGGGACTTTTTATAAACCCAGCCCCAGCCCTGGCAAAATTATAAGATTTAGCAGAGATTGATAGCTGGGAATTTTATGCAGACATTTATTATTTTTTTAAATACTGGCGTGTATATATATATATATATATATATATATATATATATATATATATATATATATATATATATATATATATATATATATATATATATATATATATATATATATATATATATATATATATATATATATATATATATATATATATATATATATATATATATATATATTATATCTGGAGCAGATCCATGCTGTAGCAAGTGTAGCAATTACTACAGTCAGCTCAGTTTTTTTTTCTCTTTTTATTTTTTGCATAGATTTTTTTTTATGTAAAAGAGAAAAATAATTTAAATAAGATATTGAGGTTACAAGTAGTCAAAATGAGGCTAATGTGAGTTTTAAAACGTCTAACAACACTTTAGTATATGATCTGATTGGCATCAAAACTTCAAAAAGGTTAAACTAAAATAACATTTTGCACAATTTCCTCTCAGACAGATTTTTAGTTTATTCTAAAATTGCAAGGAACTTTCTACTACTTTTTTTTCTACTTTGAAAATTTCTACTAGGACTTATTATTCTCTGTGACAAAGTATATGTTACAAAAATGTTATTGTATCAGGAAGTTGCTGTTTTTAAAAAACCAATAATATGAATTCTATTTCGAAAAGTGTTTTAGGTGTTGCGATAACTTGTAATACAAGTTGTATGTTTGATGATCCTAAATTTCTTTTGAAAATGTTGTGAAAACTTGTAAACAAATAAATTCCCAATTTTTATGCGATCAAATTCATTTAACTCTAGAATTAGTAAGAGAATCAAATAGTAAAGCAAAAGCAATTATATGTGATAAACATCTAACTCTAACATTTTATAAAAAACCTTGGTTAACTACAGATGGAACTCTTTTGTTGTTTGACTTTTGTTTTAGGTTCAACAATTATAAAGAAGTTTCCTCAGAGATCCAAATGATAAACAAAGAAAGTTTGTTTTGGATTTTTGCGATACAGCATTATGCATGAAAAAATTCAGAAAATAGGCATAAAATATCAACACATGTCACAAGGCATTTCACAAATTATGCACATGAAGAAATAGTCTAGCTAATTAAAACACTATTAAGAGAAAAAAATTTGTTACAAATATGTTATTTTAGGAAAATTTTTACAGAAATACTTGAAACAGAATTTAGAAATTTAAGAAAATTATCTTTAGACATTTTTTAAGTGTTCTTTGAAACCAAAGAAGTCTCTTGTTTACATTAACATGTATTTCGAAATTATGATTTGCTTAACGAATATCAAATTTTGACCAGTATAATGTTTTATCTTTTAAACTTTGGTCAATGTCCAAAATCATTTGAAATAGGTGGATTAAAAAGTCCTTTTGATTGTACTGTTCAATGCCTTTTCTTCAACATAATTAAAGATAAAGTTTGTTTGACTTCCATATTCAATACTTTTATGCTTTACTGCATTACTTAATTGAAATTGAGTATTATCATCACAATATACTTTCCTATACTAATTTATTAAAAACTACTGAAAACTTTCTAAACCAATATCAAACAAAGAACTGTTATTTTGAACAAAAAACAATCATTTTAAGTTTGTCTTGTTAGGTTGACATTTACTCATTGACACTTTTGTTTTTATTATTTGCTGAGATTTGTTTATTGTATCATTCTTAATTGTAATATGCCTGAAGTTTTCTGTTAAGGGATTTTAAAAGCATATTTAAGCATAAAAAATTTTATTTCTTATTTAAATATTTTTATTGAAAAGTTTAGTTATTTTAGTTCTATTTTTTATTGGATTTTTTTTACCTGTTTTTTTTTTTTTTCATTATATGACAAAAAGTTTATTGTAATGAAGTAATGAAGTTTATTATTAAAAATATGAAAATATCTATAAATTGTTTTAATTGTTATAATTCTATATAAATCGCTAAGTGTTTATTTTAATTTTTAGATATTTTATCAAGTAAGCCATTAAATAAAGCATAATGTGTTTTAAAACAAATTTAAATTGAATAAAAAAATTGAATTTTAATCAAATTTAGATTAAATTTTTTGTTTTCATTTTCAAATATTTCAAATCACTATAAGCCACTGTACATCCAAGGCTGGCACAAATGGTGTGTGATACCCTCCCCCTATCAATAAATTTTAGTTTATCATGTCTGCAAAATTAGCTCTTTTAGACCAGCAAGTTGATATATGAAAACCATATAGTACAGTCAGCAAACTTGGACTTTTAGTACTGTCAGCGAATGTGAAAAGCAAGGACCTTTTTTATTTTATTTTTTTAGGCAAAAAAAAAATTTATAGCATTATATATATTTATATATATATATATATATATATATATATATATATATATATATATATATATATATATATATATATATATATATATATATATATATATATATTTAAGTGTTAAGTGAGAAATATTGACTTAAGAGTTAAGTGAGAAATATTGACTGGCCTTCGCTAGCGGAGTCAGGAAATCAACTTTGCACATCCTTCTATATAATAGTCCTCAATATATATATATATATATATATATATATATATATATATATATATATATATATATATATATATATATATATATATATATATATATATATATATATATATATATATATATATATATATATATATATATATATATATATATATATATGTATGTATATATATATATATATATATATATATATATATATATATATATATATATATATATATATATATATATATATATATATATATATATATATATATATATATATATATATATATATATATATATATATATATATATATATATATATATATATATATATATATATATATATATTGAGGACTATTATATAGAAGGATGTGCAAAGTTGATTTCCTGACTCCGCTAGCGAAGGCCAGTCAATATTTCTCACTTAACTCCTAAATAACTAAAATTGGCTTAAACAACGTTTCATAAAATCAAAATTCTGAAATACGATTAAAATAATTTTACGTTACTGTTAATAACAAAATATTGTTATTAACAGTAAACTTATTTTAAAAAGCTAAAAGATCGATATAAAAAACCTCTATAAAAAAACAAAGAACATATTATTGACACAATTTATTTATAAAGAAATAAACATATAAACATCATATTCTCTAGAGACTTTTAAACAATGTTAATTTTTTTTTTTTTTTTTTTTTTTATATAATGAACTTAATATAACTTCGTAAAGAAATAAACAATACAATATTTTTCAAGTAAAAAATCTAAAAAGAAAGATTCACTACTCAGCAAGGTGTGCTTTCTTAATTGATGTCTGATAAAGACATGCATTTTTTGCTTGGTCTTTATCCAAACTCTGAATTCCATGCAGAAGAACATTTGCTAAACGCCTAAAAAGACTCTTTGATGATAAACCAAAATCATAATATGTGTCCATTATAGATAGAATGTTTATAAGTCTTTTTCTACAACATGCTCTGTGCTTTGTTTTTTTTACAAAGCATAAACCAATTCTAACTAGCTGATAAGTACACTCATGTGGAACTGTCAAATAGCCCCTTGAAATTTCTTCAATAAAGTCTTTAGCTTGATTTGTTAGTTCAGGTTCATCATCTGGATAAACTAGTTCATCTTCACATTTTTTCTCAAGCCATCCTGCTACATAGGCAGCAGAGCTCTCTTCAGTTTCAGAAAGACTCACATCATAAGTGCATGTTTCAATTGAGGTTGCATCTTCAATACTAATTGGACCCTCAC